GCACAAGAGAAAAAGAAGGCCCCCAGGATGACAAAAGAGATGGGGATCACAAACCAAACCATGCTCATCCAATTCATGATAAGAAAAGATGATATAAACCATTCCTTACTCTGATTGCCACGCGTCTAATGACCCCCATATCACAACTACCAGAGTTTTTTTTTCCTTTCCGTTGTAGAAGAACTTTTTCGCCATTCCTTACTCTGATTGCCACGCGTCTAATGACCCCCATATCACAACTATCAGAGTTTTTTTTTCCTTTTCGTGGTAGAAGAACTTTTTCCCCATCGAAGTACACATTTTTTCTTTAAAAAGACACTACAGTACACACACAACGCATGCAGTCCCACATATCATGAGTGTCAAACATAGACTGGAGCCAAAAAGCGAGGTAACATCACTTGAGTAGATGTACAACATCATTTTCCTACCTATAGGACCCTACACTATAGCACTGCACTCCCAGAATATAGGGCAAGGCAAAAGTAGACATACTGTACCATTTTCTTACCTTTAGTACCCTACACTATAGAACGGGCACAAGGAGAAAGAGATGACCGCCTCAACTTCAGGGCGCTGTGAAATACAGCAGCAGTATAAACCACCCACCACTAGCACCCTGGCTACTAGGGGCCCACCCTCCTTTTTCTCAGGGCAGTTGTGAAAGGTAGCGGTGGTCTACGGACAAGCCGGCCATGCTTATCAATCTACCACAAGTAACAAGGGCCAGGCGTCCACCCGGTTCCATGACGGTCAACAGGGGGGGGGGGGGGGGGGGGGGGGGGAGCTCGCCGCTTTGTCGGATTGATGGGCCGACTGTCAAAATTCTCTTGTTGTCTGCTGCAGGGACCAGCATGATTTTTCAGGAGCTACTGGTGGGTTAAACCCACAGCTTCCCCCCAGCCGTCTCCAATGCCTTCCTATGAAACCGGTGGTACACAAGGGTGCCTGCAGGACGGTCTGGTAGCAACCTGTGGAGGCCTGATGTGACCCCCACGGGAGGAGGGGGGGGGGGGGAGCAAGGGAATTAAAAAAAAAAATTACCACACTGCCACTGACTGGCAACAACATGGTAGTGCAGTTCAAAGTGGCGTACATGAAAATGGAAAGGAAACAGTCAGTACTGTTGCCAAACTGACAGAGAGCTGTGTGCTTGGAAATGTTGCATGCATGTTTTCGGAGGGAAGCTTAGTCAGATTACACACACTGCTTACCCTATCGACTGGGTCATTGGTTCAAATCCAACCTAGGGATCGCCTGCAAGACGCACGACCAGGGCCAATGTTTGGCACGTCAAGGTCAAAGTCAAAGTCAAGGTCAAAGTCAAAGTCAAGGTCAAAGTCAAGGTCAAAGTCAAGGTCAAAGGCAAGGTCAAAGGCAAGGTCAAAGGCAAGGTCAAAGGCAAGGTCAACTGGAAAAACACAGGCTCAACAAACGGGGCTTGAGACAGTGGTGGTTTGATTTATGAACTCCAAAGTTCAAAGTTCAAAGTTCAAACCAGGGTTTAATTGTAAACTTTAAAGATTAAACCACCACTGCACCCGATATATATATATATATATATATATATATATATATATATATTGTCACAGAAATATATACATATGAAAAAAACAACAATAACAAGTGACAGGCAGACACACTCCCTAGCGGGTCGATAAACGGCATACTAACAATATTTTTCGTCGAACTTCCGTGGATGTACCTTACCATAATGGCTAGCAAAATCTGTTCGCAAAACCCTTCCCTGGATGTATTTGACCTTAATGAGGGCCAACATCTGTCCACAAAACCTTGGTAGAGAGCTGCAGTAAATCGCAACGGTTTTCAAATGGCGATGATGATTTACGACATACTCACACCGCACTTTTGGGGCACACTCACACTCAGTCTTTTCTTAATGCATCTGACAGCAATTGCATCTAGATGCGGCAGGATCAGTTTGAAATTGGATGTCTCTGCCAGCAATTGGAGTCTACATTGGGTAGGGAAAGTCCTAGTGTCAGTTCGCCATGGCATGCATCTGACAGCAATTCCAGCCACATTCGGTAAGGCGGCCCATCCGTTCACAAGTGGATGTCTCCAACAGCAATTGGAGTCTACATTCCATATATGGCAAGTCTCAGTGTCGGTTCACGATTGCATGTATCTGATGGCAATTCCAGCCACGTTCAGTAACGAAAGTCCTAGGGTCAGTTTTGCCCTTCGTGTGGGATGCTCTCACCACTACATAGGCCCCCACAGCAGAAGAGAGAAGGAAAAGCGGGCAGTAGCTCCCTACCTTTTTTCTTTCTTCCTCATCCTGTCCACGCATATTTCTGTCACTTCCTTTCCATTTCTTTTCCTCTCTAGTATATCTACATATGTTTCCGCAAATTCCTCTCCACACATACTTTGCGAATCTGTCCGTCTCCAGTGATGACTGGGCGAACTACCCCCCTCGTCTTTCTCCGATTTTCTTTTTTCAAATCAGGGGAAAAAATATCTGGCATCCTCCAGCAACAGCATGCATCTCCCACCATCTCGCCGACTAGTCAAAGCCGACCGGTCAGCCAGAGCCCAGGGGCGACGTCCTGCTAACATGGATAAGAAAGATCTCAGCCGTCCATCTTCTGTGGTGTCTAATGGTCGTGTAAGTGTGACCTCACCCCGGGTTGTATTGGATGCATTAACTTGGATATAATATTTTTACAATGTGCCTTGCTCCACCGCTCTCGAATGGCCCTTTTTCGAGACTAGAGTGAAGCGCCGGTCCACCAACTCTCGATTCCAAATTCGTTCAAGAGCTGTCCACAAGATTCCCCGAAAACGACTCTCCGAGAATCGAGAGCATCATCAGCCTGCAAGCTCTCGATTTTTGAGAGAAGGTTTCGAGAACCTCCAGTGGAGTGCTGAAACCCGAGAGTTGGCCATACGTTGAGACCCAGCCGTCGGCTCGTTTTCTTTTTTTTTGTCAGTTTTTTTTTTTCAACTCGAAAAACATTTATATTATAAATAAAAAAATGAGGTCTGGGTTCTCAAAAACATTATATTACAAATAAAAAAATGAGGTCTGGGTTCTCGAAAACATTATATTACAAACTTGAGAGTTGGCCACACGTCGAGACCCAGCTGTCTGCATCTTCGGCCTGCTAACCGTCCGCTCAGTAAAAAATAGACTTTCAGTGCACCTTCGCCCTCAGTAAGAACTTAATTTTTTGGCACGCATTCGGCATCACTAAGAACTCAACTCGGCCTCAGTAAGAACTTAACTTTTCGGCACGCATTCGGCATCACTAAGAACTCAACTTTTCAGCATACCTTCCACCACAGTAAGGAGTAAACTTCTCAGCACACCTTCGGCCTCAGTAAGAACTAAACTTTTCAGCACACCTTAGGCCTGCAAACCGTTGGCATGCACCTTCAGCCTCAGTAAGGACTTAACCATCAGTAAGAACCTAAGCCTCAGTAAGAACTTAACTTTTCAGCGCGCATTCGGCATCACTAAGAACTCAACTTTTCAGCATACCTTCCACCGCAGTAAGAAGTAAATTTCTCAGCACACTTTCGGCCTCAGTAAAAACTATCCCGCCACAGCAAGAAGTAAACTTCTCAGCACACTTCCGGCCTCAGTAAAAACTAAAGTTTTCAGCACACCTTCGACCTGCAAACCGTCGGCGTGCACTTCAGCCTCAGTAAGAACTTAACTTTTCGGCGCGCGCTCGGCGTCACTAAGAAGTGAAATTTTCAGTGCAGCCCAGACGCAGTAAGAAGTACGCTTTTTTTGAGCCGAGTTTCTTGTAAAAACGAAAGTTTCAGCTCACCTTCAGCCTCGGTAAGAACTAAACTCTTCAGTGCACCTTCAGCCTCAGTAAAAAGTAAAAACCTTCCAGCGCACCTTCTGCAATAGTTGTTTGATAAGGGCACAGAGCTCTTCTGTAATAATTTGTATATTTGTATCTAAGGGCCTCGCTCTGCTACACGAGATTGTAAACGCACCTGGATCTGTATGTTGCCCCGAGACATCCAAAATTGAGTCAGTCCAAACGTATCTGGAGGGCGGAACAGTTCAAATACATGTACGATGTTGCGTACTGTAGCGAGGCCCTATATATAGTCATAGAGCACAGGAGGAAAGGCCGCGAAACAGGGGGAGGGGGGTGAGACAGACTGTTGCATCGGAGTTTCACCGACTCATCAGGAGGCTGAACCCTCTACTGTCTGAAATGAATAATTTAAACCGCCAATTCACCTGAAGCAGAGTACGACGCAAGAGCTTTTCGGTGTGGACCCGGGCCAGTAGTGAACAAGGCAGGCCACTTCGAAAAGATGAAGTCTCAGCCTCGCAAGCCTTGGAAGGCAGCTTTGCTAATGGTTCTAAACCACAAGTACAAGGCCCCAGCCTTGCTGTAAACAAGGCTCGTCGCCCATCCAGAAAATTCGGGGCGGGGCCGCCGTTGCATTTGAGCCTCTGAAAGTAGGCCCCGGCCAATGTCGCCCATCCAGAAAATTTGGGGCAGGACCGCCATTGATAAATTCAATCGGCGGCCTTTGTCGCGTTTCAGCCTCTGAAAGCAGCCCCCGGCCAATGTATGGCGTGTACTGGTGGTTTGACGAAGGGGCCTTTCCGAGGCTCGCAAGCCTGAGACTGCGTTATTTCAAGTTGGCCTGCCATGTTGACTACCGGCTCAGGCCTGAATCGAAAAGCTTTTACAGCATAAGCTGGTAAGAGCACTACTGCGTTTCGGGTGAACTGGCGGCTTAAAAATGAATGCTGTTCTACACAGCCCCCATGTGGCCAAATGGTACACCGATATAACTGCTGATAAACAGACCCTGATTTCGAATCCTGATTCACCTGGGGTCAGTCAATTCCATGACGATAGCTCAAGGCCGTGGACCCCAAGTTCCCCCTCCCCTCCTTTTTCTCTCTCTTTCCTGTTCCCTTTTTTATTTAAGAAAGGGCTATGGCCTTGAGAGGCATCGTAACTTGAATTGACCGGCCCTAGGTTATTTAGAATTGCAGTCTTTAACTCGTCTGCTTCCAGTGGAATTCGAACTCACGTCTGTATTTCAACAGTTCAGTGTATTTCAACAGTTCAGTGGTGCACCAACTGAGCTAGGCCAGTTGGTCCGAGTTGTTCTTCTTCCTTTATATTTCAGTCTTTTCAAAACACAACCACCACCACCATTACCCTCCCCAAGCCCCATGAATGTGATGAGAAGGCAATCGAAGTGCGGACGTGCTCAGCCACAGGAGTGAGGGTGCATATTTTCCTGTCGAACGGTCAAGCGCCAGAAAAGAATCAAAGAGAATTGGATTAAGCACCTGAATATGGATATGTTTTACGCAGAGATGCAGAAAAACAGATCAATAACGATCTCTCTGCACCTCTTCACAAAAGGTGAGAAGATTCAGGCATTAAAGAACCCATGAATGTGCATTTGTTTCATGCAGAGATGCAGAAAAGCAGATCAATCAAGATTTCTGCACCTCTCCACAAACACGTCAAATTCAGGCGCTAAACCGCACCCAAAGCAAAGCACTGCTCTTGCCGGCTTATGCGTGCGGCAAGAGTATTACACGTGGCAAGAATATTTCCATTCTGAACTGATCCAGTAGCAAACTGAGCACGCCACTTTGACAGGGCAAAGTTGCAGGCTCACAACTTTTTTTTTTTTTTTTTTTTAATAAGGGCGATGGCCTTGAGATATCATCACTGAACTGACTGACCCCAGGTAATTCTTGTTTTTTCTTTTCTTTTCTTTTTCTTTTCTTTTTTTTTTCTTTTTTTTTTCTTTTTTTTTTGCCCCAGGTAATTCAGAATGATTTTATTCTGGTCATCTGATTGTATCTGGATTCGACTTGGGTCTGTATTTCAACAGTTCGTGGGTGTACCAACTGAGCTAGGCCCACCGGTAGCTTCGTCAACTTAGGCTCATGCGAACTAACTGGTGGTTTTTAAGCCACCAGTACCTTTCCCGTACGTCAGCCGGGGGCACTGCGTGCCGGCCTGACCTAGCCCCACTGGTATAGCTCCGTCAACTTAGGCTCGTGCGAACTAACTGGTGGTTTTTAAACCACCAGTACCTTTCCCGTACCGGCCTGAGCTAGGCCCACTAGTATAGCTTCGTCAACTTAGGCTCGTGCGAACTAACTGGTGGTTTTTAAGTCCAATCCTCTTTGCTAGATAGTGGGACCCCCACCGCCAATAAATGTGATGATCCATGATCAGATCTTGCTGAGAGGGAAAACTTAAAAAGAAAGAAAGAAAGAAAGAAAAGGAAAAGAGCGAAAAGGAAAAACTGAAAGCAGTGTTATTAAATATAGGAATAAGAACAAAGACTTTGAAGGCTTCCCACGCTAGCCTGGCTGTGAGTGTGCAGCCAATGCAAGAAGCGAGAAGTACAAGCGAGGATACAAAGGGCACACTCACACTAGGACTCTTTCGACTCAGCTCTGGGTGTAATTGCTGTCAGATACATCCAGATCTGGCTGTAATTGCGACCAGATGCATCCTGGAAACCGCTGGTGTGCGCACGTCCGAAGTCTTTGATTTTGCCCACGGGCCCATAGTGTGGACATGCGCACGACGGCCAGCCCACTCCCTCTTCTTCTTGGTCTCCGCTCCAAGTCTTCCACAACTCAAGAGTCAGAGAATAAAAACAAAGGGTGCAGTACGAGTTTACACCCCAATAAGCGTACGGTGTGATTATCATAGGGCTGTCGGCAACACACCTTATAATTATAGGGTTGTCGTCAACACCCCTTACTAATAAACAGGGGTGTCTTCAACACCCCCTTATTATTATAGGGGGTGTCGTCAACATCCCTTTTGTGCTTCTACATCTTCCCTCTTCGTCTTCCCTCCCAACTCCAATCACCAAATTAACAGAAAAAAAAAGAGAAGTAGCGTGAGCATGCCCTCATAAAAAAAGGGGGCTTTGGTGCGACCATGCCCTCGAAAAAAAAGGGGGCTGTGGTGTGAGCATGCCCTCAAAGAAAAAGGGGGCTGTGGTGCGAGCATGCCCTCAAACAAAAGGGGGGGTTGTGGTGTGAGCATGCCCTCGAAACAAGGGGGCTGTGATTGGAGCATACCCTCAAAAACAAAAGGGGACGATAGTGTGAACATGTCCTCAAAAACACAAAAAGGTGGGCGGGGCGAGGGAAGGCAGCGAGAGGGGCATGCCCTCAAAAAAAAAAAGTGTGCAGTGTGGGTATGCCATAAAACCTCCCCCCGTTTCAAAAAAATCGGCTGCGTAGACGTACAGTAAAGGGCCCGCAAAATTACGCCTCTGCGTAGAGGGGCTGATCCTTAGCATTGATAATGACGAGTATTCCCTCGCTAAGAGACTACCTTTTCGTCGGGATCCATGCTGATCAGATGGTTGGGACCGAGACGCAGGGCCGTTCGTTTTCTTTGAGGTGAAGAACAGCAGGGAACTTTCACCGTCACCTGGGTGTGCCGATTGATATCACCCACTGTGACCCAGTGTCACCCACTGTCACCCACACTTGGTAAGCGGCTAATCTTAT